ACACACCCCCCATTTGCCTCAGAGTCCCACCAGGGGCAGGGTCGGGACTCACACTCTGGAGCGGCCCCCAAGTCCCAGCCGCGCTCCTCCCTGCGCCAGCCGCCACCGCTGCCCCCCTCCGGGCTCCCCGTGCCCCCCGCCCGGCGTCCCGCTCGCTCCCCGCCCCAGAGGCAGCGAGTGAGTGAGGGACTGCCAAGAGGGGCACCGAGAGCGGGAGGGGGAGGGAAAGGGGGAGGGCGGGAGCAAGGTGGCCCCCCTGCACCGCCTCAGCGGCTCCCCATGGCAGCGCCCCAGAGCAGCCCGGGCCGGCAGAGCAGGAGGGGGCGGGGAGCCCGGCGCACGCAGCGCAGGAGCACGCACGGCGGCGGCGGCGGCGGCGGCGGCGGCACAGACGGGCCCGGGCTGCGGCAGCCAGATGTTTCCTCCGCTCCCCTCCCTCCTTCCTTCCTCCGCTCCTCTCCCCTCCCCGGCCAGTTTCCCTGACTGACAGCACGGCCAACCCATCGCACGGCCTTCTCCAATCAGAGGGGAGCTGACAGACCCCGCAGGGCCCGCCCAATGACAAGGGGAGGAAGCGAAGAATACTCTGGGCTCTGGCTAATCGTGGACGGGGGGTGGGGTTAGCGCTCCTCGGGCCAGGCGCCGGGCGAGTTGCTGGGTTCGGAGGAGGGCGGGGCTTCGTGGTCCCGGGTCAGTCCGCTTCTTGCTGCAGTCTCCTCGACCTCCGGAGGAGAAATGGGGCGAGCGGGGCTGCCGCCGCTTCTCCCTGGGCGCAGTGCATGGTGGGGATTAGTAATGGTCATGGCTCTGGGGCGGGAGAGGGAAAGTGCCAGGTTATTGATAGACGAGGCCTGCCTAATAGTTTGTCTGGGATCGAAGACCCACTTATACTTCGCCGCTCAAACATCCTATTCAGTCAATCCCCCCCACACACACACACACACAAAGCGCTACTGGGGGAAGAATATAATTTCTCTCAGTAAATTTTTCCAGTAGTCCTTAAAACAGAAAAAAATTACCCTATAGCCACTCTCCCCCCCCTCCTTCCTATTGCTTCTTGTCATATTCTCTGTGGATGAGGTGAACAACTGCTTCCTCTTACGGTTTTTGAAAAGAATCCGGGTACTCCTCCTCTTCCCGCAATCGTTTTTCTCTCGCCTTTACTTACCTGCTTTCTTCAGCTTTTTCTGAGGAAGACGGAAGTTGCACTGGTGTAGTTTTCCCATCGCAGTGTAGCAGTGGTGGGGGACAAAACTGCACCTGCTAAATATTGTCCTGCTTAAGAGTTCTTAAAGGGACATAAGCCCTTCTTTCAGAAACTAATGACTAATTTCACCTTCAGTATCCTACTAATCCTCTGCTAAGAAATCACAGTCAGACCCTAACATGCGGGGTTAGTGGAAAGGGCTCCTGTATAAAAAGGCATTGTACTTGCCATTTTATCAATTAAGCAGTAATGACGAAGTGGGCTGACAAAAAAGTGGGTTAGGGACAGCACAATACAATAGATCAAGGTTTTGCCTCAGGTCAGAGTTGGAACTAAGTGTCAAATCCCGAGGTAAGATCTCTTCAGGGTTTTGTAACATAAACATATAGTTAAAGATCCACTTAGGCATGTTCCTCCTCTCTCTGTTGTCTCCTGCCACAGTTACAGTACTCTGTTTCCTAAAACTCCCATTGCATAGTGGAACCTTTTGTGCTTTACCTGTGGTTGCTTGTTTGTTTACAGAAAGTTTAGGTAAAGGTAAAGGTTCCCTTGCTCGAAAGCCAGTCGAATCTGAAGACATTTCCGTGGTCATGTGGCCGGCACAAATAAACACCAAGGTGCACGGAACACTGTTTAGCCAAGCTCAAAAAACCAAAGAGGTGTGTTTTTCTTTAGTGCAGATAACAGGTGAAGGCTACTTTAAAGCATAGTGAGAGGGAGCACAGAACTAGAATATGAACTTTTAGTAAAAATGGAAATCTGCTATAGTTTATGAGCCCCTGCAGACTCAGAGTGGGATCACTCTAAGCCTCAGCATCGCTATGATTAAAACTATATGTATATTTTGCATTGAAAGCTGGAGGGGGAAACCACTTTACTTTTATATGGAGGTGCGACTAGACAGTGTAACAGTTTTCTGTTTGTTCAGTGGTTATCTTTTTATTCTTCGGACAGCTAATACTAATCTGCTATCACTAGGTGTCACTTTCGTGTTGTTGGCTGTACCTTTAAATATGTTGAAGCAAACTGCACCAAACTAGCACCAAGAGACTGAAAACAAGCATTACAGCACAAGTTTAATAAGCCAAACAAAAGGGGGGAAAGCACCCATACATTCCAGTCTATGGAGGATTAGGATTAAACCAGAAGCCTGTGGGAGCAATCCAAAGCAGGTATATTTGGAATTAAGCAAAGGACGAGATGGTTAGACAGTGTCATAGATGCAACGGACATGAAATTGAGCAAACTTCAGAGGATGGCGGAAGACAGGAAGGCCTGGCCCATGGGGTCGCGAAGAGTTGGACTCGACTGTGCGACAGCAACAACTCCTCCCAGGGAAGTTTGTTCAGGATTGCAGCAGATAATGTAACACATGATCACCGCAGGAAAGGAATCACATATATTGAACTTATCAACCTGCCCCAAGTTAAAGGTTTTGGAACCAGAAAAAGCACACTGGTAGAGTGAAGATGGCATGGGATGGAACTGCATTAAGAGGATTGTCAACATGGTCTAGGAACCTTGAAATATCAACAGAGTGCTATGGAAGAAGTACCAGCACTAAGGCAATTTCAAGTATTAACTTGGACTGCACAAGTCAGTATTTAGTAAGTATACCATTGTCTGAGTTGGTATAGCAAATGTTTTATTGGATGACCTGTAATCTCCTTTTCCCTGTAAAATGAGTGAAATTGCTAGTATCATTCATCAACTAAATCACCTCTCAGTCCTTATTCTGTACCATATAGCTTTCTAGCATTGGTGAGTGCATTATTAAGGATCAGCCCTATAAATACTGATACATAGGTAATCTTTTGAAATCACGTAATTACACAAGTTTGACTAACGTAAGACTTGGCTTTAAATGCAGAAGCTGAAGGAGAGCAGAAGGGGCTGTTTTCTGACAAAGGGCAGAATTGAATACTTATAAAAATGTTTAACACACTTTCACAGCTTCAGACCCCCGTATCTGAAGCACCATCTCTCTTTCTTCGTATGCTCCCATGCACCAATTCCAGTTTGCAGGTCATTTACTTCCCAGATGCCCCACTGACCTAGGATTGCTTGTCTGGCATCTACTAAACCCCATTCCTTTCCAGAAATGGGTCCCATTTTATGGAACAGGCTTCCAAAAGAGGTAAAAAGGAAGCTTTTTCGAAAGCACTGTATAGGGCTGTGCTGTTTGCAAAAGAACGTAGTGGGTCTTGAGTGACAGACATGGGATTTTAATTAGTGTGTTATTAACAAATGGTTCATGGTTTTAATGAAATAAGACTAATTTCATTAAGTTTCTTTGAGCTGTGGAAAGAAAGGTGGAATACAAATGTTTTTATAAATATGAATAAATAAGAATGATTTAAAACATAAGATTTTGTTTCCTTGACTTCAGATTGAATTTTGTGAATATAGTTTGAATGGACTTTTCATTTTCTCCTACATCTTCTGTTCTGATTTTCTGTATTCAGAGAAGTGGGCTCATTAACGAAAAATGCTTACTAGCCAAGTGACTACAGCAATACACTGGAAAAATATTAATTTAAAGAAATGAAATGTATTGTTTATATTGGCAACAACTTTACACATAGTGGTATATACTTAGGTCCCACTCCTGTATGGACGACTGGTGTAATTTGCAGTCACAATAAAGTACAAGCGTATTAGCATATAAAATTATAACTCTTGAATCAAGTTTATTTCTTCCCTAGCCAGCTCTGGAAATTCCTTGGTGATCTGAGCAACACAGTAAAGTTCTGAGGGATTCTAGGGGAAAAGAAAGGGACTGCTGGGCTTTAGGCAGTGGTCATTGCTGCCATCATCCCCATAGCACCACCACTGAAAACATTCTGTACATAGATGCATAGTATGATTTCTGTGATGGCTGTGGTGGGTAGAATGGAGCAACAATAACACAGTAGACTTCAGAGGTCACAAGTAGAGTTTTCAGTGGCAACCCCAAGATTGTGGAACAAACTCCCTAGCCCCCTCACTCAGCCCTTAGGAGGCAGCTAAAGACAGTTTTATCTATGTCAGTTTTTGATTAGTTTCAGTTCTTCTGCCTAATGGCAGTTTTCAACTGTTGATTTTAAATTGGTGCTTTTTGTGTATTTTACTGTGTTTTGTTGCTTTTTGTATTATAAGCCACCTTGATTTCCTGTAAGGTAGAAAGGCAGCTATTAAATGTTTTAAATAATAAATAGAGGACAACGGGAGGCACACGACTGGAAGGGATCAGGCATAGACAGCACCTGGGAGCGTGGACAGCAAGTCTTTTCCCTACCCATCACTCAAATCCCTTGACTCAGAGTTCCAATCAGAATCCTGTTCCTGTGCACTTTATTATGAGGTCTTTGAGAAACAGATGCTAATTGAGTTGATTAGTGGTATATATACTTTTAAAAAGTGCATCAGATGTACAAAGGGAGAAGTACCTTCTTCTAGTGAGAAGCTGCAGGGGGGAGTGGTATTTCAGTGGTAGAGAACATGCTTTGCATGCAGATGGTTCCAGATTCAATATCTGGCTCCTCCCCTTAGAGAGCCATACAATTGGTGATAGGAAGGACCTAAGATCATAGAGAGTCACTGCCAGGCAAGCTAATTTGCACTGAACTTGATTTTGGGAGAAAAATTGACAAGCAACTGAACATCAGATGTACAAAGGGAGAAGTACCTTCTTCTAGTGAGAAGCTGCCGGGGGGAAGTGGCACAACAGTGTGAGGTGGCACAGGTTGGTTGTCAACTTGGGGGTGGGGAATGAACTTTCCCCGTACACTTTTCTCTATAAAGGCCCCGGTCACACGGGCCGGATATCATGGGGGGGGGGCATGGCTGTTTGCCCTGGAGCGAACTACCACGCGGCCGGTGGATCATACATCCCGCCGACATCCCGTGGTTCGGGGGGAGGTGCCGATCATACCACAATCCTGTGGTGTGGCAAAGAAGCGGCCCGGCACGATCACAGAGGCGCCGCTGCCGTGGCAAACGGGGTTGTGGGTTTTTTTTTAAACCAAAGTGTGTGCATGCGCCGTTGGGTGCTTGTGCACATCCCATGGAGACTTGGGGGAAAAAAACCTTTTCGCCTTGGGACATGGGTGGGCTCTGGATGCCACACCTACCACCAGAAACACGATCAGACGCCCGCCCTTGCCCCGCGGTTTCCGGAAACTAGTACCTCGGAGGTACTAGTTTTTTATGGCGCATCTTTGGCGGGAAGCCTCGGGTGAGCCACGGGAGCTCT